ACCTTGGGGAGCATAAGATTTTGCAAAATTTGAAAATCTTACTGTCGTGAAATCTCATTTCATGCACACAATGATGACAAGATCCAGACACTTACATAACTTAAACCTGTCTTTACCAGAAAAACAACCTTGCGGAGACACAATTACAACACACCTGCCTGATATCAAAGCAAATTTATCTGACACGTTGTGCCCTAGACATTTCATGAACATAGATATCTGGTATTAACAAAACAGAAAGCATGCAGCATGTGTGTGCATGTGTATGAGCATCTATGACTCAGTCACAACAGTAAGTACAAGAGCTGCTGAATCACACATGTGTGCAGTATATGTGCTGCTGTTTGTCTTGCTCTTATCTCTTCTTGATACAGTGTGTTTCCCCACAGTCACAGTCTGAGATGGTTCAGGATGTGTTCATCAGTCTGGAGAAATAACAGTAAAGAGTAAAAAAAAATCCCACCGTACACTCATGCTGAATTTTGACATGGCAATTGAATCATTAATATAAGGATTTATGGGTACAAAAATGAGAGTTTAAACACTGAACTTTTTCCTGTGGTATTACTCGCTTTATATTTAAAATGAATACTTGCCTTTAAATGGAGTTTTTTTCTCACAGAAAACTGAAAGAGAACAATGTTTACATTATTAAGTGACTTGTTTGGGGGTTTGGGGTTTATTTATTTATTAATACACTGCAAACAATTATATGATCAATAAGTTATGACAACACATGCTTTTACATTGTTTGAGCTCAATTTAACTCGTTTGTGTTATACAAGATTCAGCTAATGTTTAAGTCAGTTTAATGTAATTTAAGATAAAATCAAATCCAGTTGCTTGCAAAAGAAATGCTTCTCTGCCTTAAATTTTTAAGTATATTTTTATAAAGTAGGGATGCAATTAAATAGATTGAAATTGATGGTGAAGACTTTAAAAATTCTAATGTTCTTTCTGTTCATCAAAGAGTCCTGGAAAAAGTATCAGGATATCCACAAAAATATTCCATTGTATAACCGTTTTCAACATTGATAACAATATGAAATAATTTTTTTTCAAATGTTGCACCAAGTTATCATATAAGAATGCCTTCTGAAAGATCAAGTGACACTGAAGACTGGACTAATGATGCTGAAAATTCAGCACATGAATAAATTACATTTCAAAATATATTTGTCACAAAAATGATATGATACAATAAACACAGAAACAGACAGAAGGTGTGACGGTGCATGCGTGAAACAAAGGTAAATACACACAACATGCAAACATCAACCGACCACTGATGATGATTAGTGTCCATAGAAACAGATGAGTGGGGGGAAACAAAGACAACTAAAAGTCCATGAAAGTGAAACTACAATACAAAACATTTGTGCATTATTGACGCTATTGTCTAAAGGGACTTACAGTATATTCAACACTTGCATGGAATTCCCTGGAAATAACACGCGGCCTTGACATTGCACTCTGTTTAGGCTACAGGATCATTTACTGTAGTCATAATAACGCATAACATTCAGCAAAATGCATATTTGTATTTCTGTGCTGACTGAGAGTACAAGACCCTATTCAATCAGTTGAAATGCTTACTCATATTTTCCCAGTGCTCAAGGAGGTGAGTCTGTAAAACCACAATGATTCACATGGTCTTGGTGTGTTTTCAAGACAAGAGTGGAAAAAGAGGGGTCCTTAATGCCAAAAACACCTACCGGTACTGCAGAAGACATGCTGTTCTACAAAAGCCTAACTGAGAGAAGTAAAACATCGAGTAGCTTTGCCAACACCCACAAAAACAAACACTGGCACAAGGTCATGTAGATAGGCCTATGTACTAACAGTACATAACAATCAACCCTTTTTGCTCTATTAATCAGAAGCCTGTGAAAACATTCGTCCAAAAACAAATCTAAACCAAGTCAATCTAGCAAGCTCTGTTTTGGGAATCCTAAACTTCCTGAGAAGTAAGGTCCATCTTCACACTCACCCAACTTTTCTCATTTCTATAGTATAAACAAGGAATGAATTCAACACTGCTCATTCCTTAATCAAAATCAGTTAATCTACTGAAATATCTTTGTGACGGCCTTGAATTACATAATAATACTACAACAGATTGAACTAAGCATGATACTTCTAATGCCATTGAATCTCAACAGTAATGATTTAGAAACCTGAGATATTTCATTTGTCATCTCCCTAGTCTAAATACTCTGCATCAGGATGTCTGGATCTGATTTCAAAAGTCCAGTTTATATTTGACTCAATATGAAAACGTTGCCCCCTTTTTTTACTTACATTTTTATTGCATCATACTGATTAAATTACTGCCAATGCATTCTAGATGACATTGCGGTGAAATTGTGAAACTGAATTCTGTGTTCTGCGCTCCACCAAGTCCGTTGGAAATACCCACACACATTTGTTCTTCTGTATTTAAATCACTGTTCTTAATCTGTCCAGGATCACTTGGCTCTGGTCACCTTCCACTGTCTCCACATTCCAGCTCACAGAAAAAAAGAAAAGAAAAAAAACAAAAAACAAATAACAGCCGGCCTTGGCAGTATGTCTATTCAGCTTTCAATCATCACCGCCCACGTTTTGGTGAAATTAAATAAACTATCCATAATACAATCACTCTTGATCTGCATTGTAATGTGAAATATCTGATTGCATATGTGTATATATAAATTCAAGATTTTCACATTAAAGCACTGTAAAGCTTTTTTTTTTTTTTTTAAATCTTATTAACAAATAATTTGTATCATGCATTACAAATAAAGTGATTTTTGTGCATAACAAATAAATAATTGAAAAAAATATATAATCAAGCTAAAAATAGTCAAGTGGGAATGTAAAATATATCCTAGAATGATGCATAGAAATTTAAGTCATGACTCTACACTGCACCTCTGGGAAATGTGGTAGGATATTACATCACTTGGAAAACCATGGCTTTAAGTGAGAGGGCAAAAAAAAAAAAAAAAAACACACAGTAGAGCGGAATAGTACGGAACAGATGAGTAAAAACATCTGGAAGCAGTCTACACATATGAGGATTAAGCCTAAAGGAATTATCTTTCAAAAAGCGAAATTAAATCTGAGAGTTGTTTTAAAATTACCATTTAAAAAAGCTAGTGTTTAAGCTAACGTAGCTTAACGTAGTTGAAACGGCATTTATCATTACATGATTTTGTAAGAATTGTAATTAGGCGCTAAAGAGAGTACCTATTAAAAGTAATTTCAATTATGAGAAGATAATTGAAATGCCACGACTGTGATATTAATATAAAATTAAAACGATTTAATAAAAACAAGTCAGACACTTACAATTGACAGTTAAACTAATTACTGAAGTATAACTTTTTAACCTTTGAAAATAGTTCCCGCGTGCAGTGACTCGTCTCGATCACCTGTGCCAAAGTAAATTGGATCTAGAAAGCAGGATGTCCTCATTCAACTACAAATTTACATACTATTCATTAACACATCGATAAGCAAACCTCTTCTCAACCACAATGCCGTATCGTCTGACTCTGACTAAAAGTCGAGGATCCAAGTTGGAAAGGGAAGAGGGAACACAGCGAGGGGGCGAAGAGGATGCGCTTCAGATAGCCTAATGTTGTCACTAATCCTAATAAAATAAACGCCGGTGAATAAACAAACTGTTATAATGAGAGCATGACTTTAAAAATACTTAAACAGCTGAAAGAATAATTCGTGGTCTGTCTTTATCTCCAATGAGGATCCTATTTTGGGGATGGCGACATCAGTGAAAGTTACTTACATGGAAAGAACCACGGTGACTCAGAATTTTGCTTGGATTGTGTGTCTGCATTGTTTCAGATATGATGTGTATACGCGGTAAATCGTGATTTCAACAGCATTTTAAAATATCCAGTGCGTCAGATCTATGGGCTCTATCTATGCACGGCGGTATTTCCGGTGAAGGATTAAGGATGCTCGATAACTTCCGCCGATCGTAGAGTCCAATGCAATACAGAGAATTTATTGAATTTTATACTCCATGGTTATGAAACGTTAGTCACAAAAACAGATAAAACAGACACCCCTCGTTGTGTTTATGCTTCTTTTTAAAATTATATTAAATAAATATAACTATATAAAATTACATCTAAACGTATGTACGTTTCGTTTCAAAGTCGGGAGGACAGTAAATTTTGAAGACTCTGCCATAATCCCGTTTTCCTCGGTTCTCCTCCGCTTTAATCTCCACAACCGGAAATGGACGAGCATCTTTGCGTCAAATGCGGAATTTATGCGAGCATATAGCCCATTTGGGTTCACAAAATGTTATACTGTAGTTGCTGAACTTGCTGTTTAAAACCTCAGTGGTCGTGTGATGTAGGTTGTGCTGCCATCGCGTGGCTGGAGCATTATTCGCCGTATTGCACTATTAGCATTAGCATCGTGAGTAAACAACCGAAGTAAATAATGCATTTGTTCTTCTCTAGGCTTCCAAGAAATTGTTCCATGATCGAACGTCTGGATAATGTATTGCATTATCTAATGCAATAGATTACCTAACTGCCATAATTATTTAGCTAAATATATTTAAAGCTCGTAAATATCTTAAAATGTCTATCTATGCTGTTAGCTTTATCTGTCAACGTATTGTAAAATCACGGAAATACTCAGATAGTTCTGCATTATTTGCGGGATTCCAAAATCCAAACGTTTTGAGTGTAGAAATTAGGTAATAAAAATGAGGTAATGAGTAATGCTGTTGTTTATTAATGACTGACTACGGCATTCTTGAAAACAAAATTTCATCGCGTCGGCACAAGGCGCCGTGGCTTAGTTGGTTAAAGCGCCTGTCTAGTAAACAGGAGATCCTGGGTTCGAATCCCAGCGGTGCCTTTTCATGTCTCCGTGTGATAACTTTATAAAACACAATTTGACATCTGTTGGTTACTGTGCTTGTGGTTATTATTTTGTAACAAGTACTGCCTATATGACATTATGAAAATATATTATTCTGAAGATTCAATTTATTGGGTTGTGTATATACTCAATTCATGACTGCTTTAACCTCTAATGAAAACCATTATTCTAATTTAATAAGACAAGATCATTTCAGCAATAGTCTTGATCAGTGTTTCCCAACCTTTTATGTCTTAAAACATTATTAAACCCCACACACAACGTCAAATCTGAAATGTGTTCTTTTTAACAAGATATCCTTACTGGGCTGTACGTTAACTTTTAGCAATTAGCACTAGTGCTACATACAGAGGCTGAAGGTTTTTGTAGCACAGGTCACACAATTGTAGCAAAAGTATAAAATGTCTGTTAGATCTCTGAAAACAAGTAGTGCAGTTCTCATCACTTAAACATGCATGATGTGACTGACAAAGGACATTAATGTTCCATGAAGGGCACACACAATACAAACCTTAAAGAAATGTTTTCAGACACAAAATGACTGAAGGAACATAACACCTCTTGCTTAGCATTAAGTCAAATTTGTTTATAGCCCAATATCACTAATCACAATCCAAACAACATGCATCAAATCTTTCCAAGTATTCAAATAAAAATTCTGTCATCATTTACTTATGTCATTATAAAAATAAAAGTATGGTTAGATTTTTTTTTTTAAATAAAATAATTGATAATCAAAATATTGAACAAGTTGTTAATATCCTAATTTTACTTGCTACACTGGCATATGCCTATTAGCACCAGAATGATGGTATATTTTTCGATCACAGCTTACATTTGTTTTTTAACAGCCAAAGGCTTCTGCAGCTGCTGGCCATGTAAATCGTGCACCTTCCAGTCCATGTTTTCGAGGACAGTGTAGTTGTAGGTCTTGTAATTGAGCATGTCTCGGGCCCGGAACACCTTGTTGGATTCGTACAGGTTGCTCCAATAGGATGGGAGGGGTTGGAATCCCCCCAGGCGGGCGAGCTCATCATTATAGGCCCACTGCTCAGAATCCAGTTTAAGGATATGGCGGTTGGCAATCCCACGGGCACGACGGGCGGCAATGTCCAACTCAATATCATTCTCCATTTCCTCACGTGAAGGGAGGGGGAAAGAACCATCCAACACTGACAGGACAAACTGAGACTGAGGCAAAAAGCGAGGAAACAAGAAAGAGGATATATTTTGAAATATAAGAATTGAATAATGAAAATAACTGAAAAACTTGGTAACACTTTACAATTATGTCTCATTAGTTACAGTACCAATAGTTAATGTTGAAATGAACATTACTTGAGACCAATAAATGTTTTAGAAGTATTTTTCATTGTTAGTTCATTTTAAGTAATGAAGATAACCCTTCAGGTCAAGCAAAACATCACTTCCTGATATAGGATCACTATCTCATAGGGTGTGTATTTACCATATGGCTCCATGTTTTAAAGCAGCACTATCCAGTTTTTTTTACCTTAACTAAATAGCTTCAGAGTTATTGCAATGCTTATATGACTATTTTCAGGTTGAATGGTGGGCGTCTTCAATACTACTGTATTTACTGATCATAACCTACCCTTAAATTACATTGGTATTCAGGGGCAGCCATTAAAGGGTTAGTTCACCCAAAAATGAAAATTAAGTCATTAATTACTCACCCCCATGCTGTACCAACCCCGTAAGACCTTCGTTCGTCTTCGGAACACAAATGAAGATATTTTTTATTAAATTTGAGAGCTGTATAACTACCACATTGGCTCCTAAGGGACTGCCTCTTGACGGCCCAAAAAGTCAATGAAGAAAATGTTTAAATATCCCAAGTGACTACCGTGGCTCAACTATATGTTTATCAAGCGACGCGAATACTTTTTGTGCGAAAAAACAAACAAAAATAACAAGTTTATTCGACTATTTCTTTTCTTCCTTGTAGGCCAGAACGAGACTTCCTTATAGATTTCCACGACGCATGCGCGAGAATTGCGATCTAAGCTGGTGTGAGCAGATCGCAAATCTCGCGCATGCGTCATGGAAATCTAAGGAATTCGCGTCGCGAAAAAAAAAAAGTATTCGCGTCGCTTGATAAACATATAGTTGAGCCACGGTAGTCACAAAAATATCTTCATTTGTGTTCCGAAGATGAACGAAGGTCTTACGGGGTTGGTACAGCATGGGGGTGAGTAATTAATGACTTAATTTTCATTTTTGGGTGAACTAACCCTTTAAGGTGGTTTATAGTACCTGTTTATACTATCTGATTGTTACCATTTTGTTTTTTTAAACAGGAAATTAGTTAATGTCAGTAAATTATGGAGTGCTGCAAGGATCTGTTTTAGGCCCTCTGCTATTTTCAGTATACATGCTGTCCCTGGGTATTAGTATCTACTGTTATGCTGTTATGATGATGAAATCTCTAAACTATCCAAGTTGACCGAGTGTGTAAAATATAAAATATTGGATCGTCAGTAATTTTAATCTATTAAATTCAGATTAGACTGAGGTATTATTTATAGGACCAAAAACCTGTACACAGAATCTCTTAAAATACAATTTGCATCTGGAAGGCTACTGTTACATCCCTTCATGCTGAGTCTACGTCCTCTACATTGCTTTGCTTCAGAAGGCCTTTATTAATCCCCTGGAGCCGTATCGATTTCTTTTATGATGGATGGACGTGCTTTTTTGGGCTTCAAACTAAAATTTTAACATTCACTGCCATTATAAAGCTGGGAAGAGCCAAGATATTTTTTAATATAACTACGATTGTGTTTGGTTGAAAGAAGAAAGTCATATAGAATGGCTTGAGGGTGAGTAAATTATGGGATAATTTTCATTTTTGGGTGATCTAACGCTTTAAGGTAAAAAAAAAAAAAAAACACATTTGGCTCCTAAACTCTGGAATAGCCTTCCTGATAGTGTTCAGGACACAGACTCACCCTCCTAGTTTAAAATCTACATTAAAGACACATCTCTTCAGCCACAAATTCTCATTATGCATCTCATAACCTTGTACTCCCAGTTATATCAGATCAAAAGCATATGACGCCAACTCTTAATCAACATGCAGCACTGCCAAAATTTCTATATATTTTAATAATTACAATCAAATTGCTTTAATGAGCTCATTGTTTCTGGCTAAATGAATTACAGAAATGCCTCAGTCACACATATTTCCTCAAACAAAAGTATCCTTCGCAACTAACCTGAATATGGAAATGTGGGAAGGGGCATATAGCTCTGCAGATGCCCACTATAAAGAGTGATGGGTAGGCCGGAGGTATTAGGAACTTATAGAGAGGCCAGACGTGGTGCTCCTTCACTTTTACACCCACTTTCTCGTCCAGGAATGGGAAGGTGAAGTTGTAGCCTGTACAAAACAGGAACACCTCTGGCTTGGCCCTCTCCCCATCCTTGAACTCTAGAGTCCCATCATCCAGTACAGAAGTTACTGGAGGAGCCTGCTGGACTCCGGGAGGAAGAGGGCAGGTCAAAGGCCGCTGTCCATGACTCAGGATCACCTGGAGGTAAATAAAGGTGAATATGCTAATACATTCCAGATAAAATACTTTGGATGTTGTGTTCCTAACACAACAAACTAGTTTTTAAGAGACAAATGACAACATGTTCTAAAATCAGATCAAAATATCAAACATGCTTGATATCCTCCGACTGGATGGAATTAAAATCTGAGCCCATAATACACTAAACTTCTCTGTGAAGTTTGTAAATTCCAACTACTCAATAAATTCGCTGACTGGCTGATTTTCGGCAAATAATGTTGACTTGTCAAGACTGCAGATCGGGGCACAATCTGTGCAAAATTCATGTAGTATTTTCCAGACTTAAGTCAAACATGCGTCATTGCAAATAGCTAAACAATTTAACACTGTGAAGGACCTTAGCATTAACACTGGAGAGCTCCATGGCAATATCAAGTCCAGAGAGACCCGCTCCGAGCAGCACCACTGACTTTCCCGCCAAAGGTTCAGCACTACGGTAATCATGACTGTGCATCAGCGTCCCTAAAAAAGAAACATTTGGAAATTCTTCTTTTTTTTTTTTTGAAAAGTTGTATAAACTAAACTAAATAATTAATTCCTGCACCCAACTTGTACATGTTGCTAATTAAAAAATATCTGAGTGATTATGCAATTTTGAGTAGTGTGATTTAAACGTTTTCTAGTTTATATTATACTTTCATCCTACTCACCTATCAATGATTTGGATGTGTACAAGGTACAACATTTATATTGCAAAGTTAAGCAATTACAATAATTACTAAAACTGTAACCCTAAAGCAAGCATGTATTATGTGTAGGCTACAAAAAAATCATTAATAAATCGACATGCATAATATTTATATTATTTAATATGAAACAATAAATCATTGACTGCTCATTGCACATTGTAGATTGGATAACAAATATAAATAACTAATGCAATTAATGCACTAATAAATGTTAAGTAATATAATTATTAAACAAAAACTGGGTCTAGTCTCTAACCAAAGCCACGGTTATATCTAAAGCATTTCTCAGTAGACGCCATGCTGATAAACTGATTGCAACATGTTGCAACAGCTAAGGGCACTTTAGGCATTTGCAAGTCCAAGCACATTTTCAGAGGTGTTTTCTCGCCAAGCACACGCTTGGTTTGCAAGCCATCAGATTCTGTCGATTCACTTTGCAAAAGTAAAAACGTATTATGTAGTGTAAACTTTAAAGAATGGAAAACCTTTGAATTTTTCCAGTCCAGGTATTGCAGGGATGTAGGGGTCATAGAAATGTCTGAAACACACACATAATTTAATTTGTACACTAAATTTGTAATAATTTTCTCATCCGATTACATAACCACATTTTACATGGGAAAAATAGCACAGCATACAAGGAAACATGCAGTTTAATTGCATCATTAGTTACTGTTTAATCCCCTGTACCCAATGACCTTATTGATCTAATCTTACATTTGAACTATGTTGCACATAGGAAGGTTTTGCAGCCATGGATCACTAATTTGGCTGTGTGCACTTACCCATTACACACCATAACGGCATCAAATCGCTCTGTAGTGGATTTGCTGTGGTCCAGGCCATCATTGGAGGTGACATTCCAAGCCAACCCATTCCACCCACCCTTTACATACACTGGGGTCACTGAGGCCACTGAGGTGCCAAACTTGGTGGAAGAGAGGAATACACCTTTCAGTACTTTTTTTTTTTTATCAAGACTGATGGTTATCAAGCAAATTAATGAATCACCAACATTCAGTCCTTTGAAAAGGTGGCTGTTAAATCGCTAGTAGTTTTCCACAATTCTATAGACTGATCATAAATGTACAGTAAAGATAAGGTATGTGATTTCTGACAGGACTGATTGGTCATAAACAGTGAAATAAATGATTATCTGTCAAACCATGCAAGGAGCAAGAATTGACCTGACATGTTGAACATAAACAAAGTGGTATTTGAAAATGTAAGAAATGGACTAAATGTATTTTTTCACCTGAATGTGGTCCCACAGGCGAAAATGATCACAGTACTGCTCAAGGTACTTCCGTACCTCTGTGTGATGGACAAAAGAGGGGAGATGCTTTGCGAAAGGAAAGTCAGGGAACGACATCACCTCTTTGGGAATATTGGTTCTATCATGAGAGGAGAATACATGACAACACATTATAAAACTACAATATACAGCGTTATACTGTTAAAATATTTCACAGGCCAGTTATACTTCAAGACGTGCTTAAAAGGAAAGACAAACATCACAGAATAAAATAAAATAAAAATAGTGGATTTACATTACATTTCATAAAAAAAAAAATCATTATCATGATATTGTAAGATTGGTTACAATACTGATTGACTTATTTGAATTTACTGTCAACAATCCATACACTGCGCCGTAATAAATATATTTTATTTCAGTTAAATAGCCCTATAAAAGAATAACCACTGCCATAAATTCACCTGAGGTCCCTGTACATGCTGCTGTGAATCGGTAAGCCATTGTCGTAACACCCCACTTTTTCCTCATAGACCCATGTTCCTCCAATGTTCTCGGTGAGCTCGTATACCACAGGCGGCGCGAAAGTGTCCGGGCGGGAAAGGAGATGGCGGGCCGCGCAGAGTCCCGCGCCACCGGCCCCGATAACAGCGACGCGCAGCTTTCCAAACCCGGCCATCCTTATGCAAAATGCGGACTAGGAAGTTGACACCTGAAAAAATTAGACGCAAATACCTTGGTTAAACCAGTCTAGATGGAAAACTTGTCCAGTTCACAATGATTTAGATGATCAGCTTAATCAAGTACTGCTGTCCTCCTCGGTTGATTAGTTCTGAGGTCAGTCAGTAGGCTATGTGTAAGCGATTGTGAAATACTCGTCTAATTACATCAAAGACGTGTGGGAACCATAACTCGTCAATCAAATTAACCCTTCGTGGTTTGATGTCATATTTATTACAAATTGACTTAAAACCTTGAAAACTTATATATTAATTAAAGATAGCTGGATGTGTATGACCGTCTGTATTTTAAATGTAGCTAACTTACGTCATAATTGTAACTAAATTTAGGGAGAAAATAAGTTACGTGGACAAAGTGAACACTTATTTCCACATAGCTTACATCCATGATCATAAACAACAAAGAGATCTACCTAAAGACATGTGAGGTAACTTTCATTTATCAGTATTTGTTCAAAAGTTAAAAATTAATTGCAGTGTGCTTGATACATTTGTAACTTGTCCCGCCTGCCATGACGTTAACGTTAGTTATTTTCAGTATTCCACCAATCCACACCTGAACTTTGATACTACCATGTAATTACCATGTGTCGTTTGACTCGTTTCTTGTTTGATTCAGCGTTTTCTTTTTAAAATACCAACATACTTCACACACATTTTTCTGACATGTGTCTGCAATTTTCACTTCCTCAAAACAATAAATTTTCCGCTGCGAGCAGGGTTCGAACCTGCGCGGGGAGACCCCATTGGATTTCAAGTCCAACGCCTTAACCACTCGGCCATCGCAGCGCCCGGAAATAAGCTCCATAACTACATGTTTTGGTCTTTTATTTATATTTATATTTATATTGTAACTACTTGGAGAAATTAATTAAAATTACTTTATTAAAATTGCACAGGCCCCGTGCAGATTAAAACGTAACACAACCTAGTTTAAACTAGCCTTTACTAACCAAATAGCAAGCCGATGTTAATCTCTTTTTTGTCGATTAACTATTTTCACATCGATCATAAAAAAAAAATTTGTATCGTTTGCATTTGGAGTTAATTAATTTACGCAATAAATCGTACCGTGAATCGATGCCTAGGACAAACGCGGCTTCATCGGACCTCCAGCAAACCGTCACAGGCTATTGGTCTGGCCTACTTTCTCGTTTTATCAAAAGGACATCACATGATAGTTTTGGTTGCCAAATGACCTCCCCCATTATTTTTTTGTGTGTGTGTGTGAAATTAATCAATTAATAAGCATGCTTGTTTCCATACAATAAACTACTCTTGTAATAAATAACTGTCTGGTTAAATTAAAACAGTTTCTATAAACGATTGAAATTTCTCAGACAGGCACGTCTAAAAATTACGAACGCACGTCATGGAAACTTGGTGGTCTAATTCTAATACATGGTCTTACAGCGCGGCCTACTGACTGACTGATGAGGTCGAAACCTAGGAGACGTTTGGCTTTTATCCAGCTTTTAACTGCGTCGACTTGTAAAACCCACTTTAGCATCTTAATTTCTTCTTTAGAAGAGTGGATCTACCCTTATTAGACTATCCTTATTTAATTTAATTAAGTTTTAATGTGTCTTTTATGACCATGCAACTTTAAAACACAAACACTTATCTTCTTAAGCAGCTTTTACAAAATGCCAGCAATTGTGCAGGAACGTGTTGCGATTTGAATGGAACGTTACACATTTATTTGAGCTATTTCGGTAACACATACAAATAATATTAGGCTAGAATGAAATTGAGAACAATAGGCTACACTGTTACAGTTTTTGTGAAAGAAAGTTTGGCAAGTGTGATTGCGGAAAGTGTTTTTTTTTTTTGCTATTGCAAGAAGTAAAGGCTGCTATGTGTAATTGTAAGTACTGTAGATTAGCCTATAGGTTTTTCGTGCAGTGTAGAACAATTAAAACGTTGCATACATGGATGTTTCAGCCAACGTCCAGAAGGTGGAGGTATTTCACAGAAATAATGTCATAATCTACACATAAGAAATAAAGTCATTTTAGTGACTTTAGTCACACGTAGAGGCTAAGTGTTGTCTACTATAATCAATTTACTCTGTATTGAATAATTAGAGTTCCACCATTGTCTGTCACCACACATAACTAATAATAGCAACTCGCCTCACAAACAAATAATCAAGTTTGTTATAGGAGTGTCTGATATATCTTGCTATATGTGTCTCTGAACTGATGACCTTGAATCAGCACCTACAATGTCCGAACGATATAAATAACATTTCCGTTCCTTTCCATGATATTAAGTGATTCATATTAAGAAACGATCTCATGCTTTTTCCATAGGACTATTATGCTTGCTGTAAAGATTTTCTCAGAAAGGTAACACCAGGATAGACATAATATAGTGTCGATAATGTTGGGAACAGAGAAAAGTCCCATAGCAATTACACACCAAATCACATTCTCTATAGAAAATGTATCAATCAAGAATAAAAGTGATGATACAGCACAGTAGCTAGAGAATCAAATAATAAATGATAGAGTGTGTCAGAATTTGACCAGGTTGAGTCAATAATAACATGGTCAGCAGCAACATGCCACATAGGATCCATGACTTAAGTGTTCAAGAAAGTCAAAAGGCTAAACCGCACCCAATATCATACAAAGTGGCTTAGCCAAGGAGACCTCAATGTACAAAGATCAATGCACTCTTCCCACATTTCACAAGTACATTGTTTAGTTTTGTTGCTGGCAACCACATATGTCATAACCACATGCAATGCCAATATAACATTTACAACCTTTTACACATGGCTATATTCCAGAATCTAAAAATCAGACGTGGTTCTTGAAATGAAGACACGCACTGGACAACGGCCATCAACAAACAACCAATTTCCATAACACTCATTCAAATTTATGAAAACCATCATCTGCAGCATTTTAAAGGGATAGTTCACTTTGAAATTAAATTTTGATATGTTTTAGCTTACCTCAAAGGCATTCAAGATGTAGGTGTCTTTGTTTCCACAGTATTTTCAATTTTGACATTTTTCTGTCAAACCGTTCTTGTCTATCAGTCATACACTGGAGGCTAAGGGGGTCCACCAAAAAGCATGCACAGAGAAGTCAAAATTAAACATGATTTAATGACTCGTAAATGTAAGTACACATTGATGGCCTAAGACACGAAACGAGCGGTTTGTGTGAGAAAACGTACAGTATTTATATCGTTTTTACCTCGTGTATTCACAGTGACGTCCAAGTGATCTGAATCAGTTGTGCAATGTCCAACTGAACCAAACCGAACTGAATCAGTTCAATGTTACGCCGGAAGTGATCGCTTGCGTGTGACGTCACTCAATATTTACACTGAGATTTCGGAAGTTTTACCTTTTACTAAACATATTTAGATATACCAAAATCGTCTTCCATTGCGGTTTCCCGTATATCTAAATATGTTTAGTGAAAGGTAAAACTTCCGAAATCTGTATAAACAAAGAGTGACGTAGGCGCACAAGTGATCACTTCCGGCGCATGCGCAGACCAAAGCGTCCGTGCCGTCAGATCATTTTGTCATGGCTATGATTACAAGAGGTAAAAACGATATAAATACTGTTAGTTTTCTCACACAAACCGCTCGTTTCGTGCCTTAGGCCATCAATGTGTACTTACATTTACGAGTCATTAAATCATGTTTAATTTTGACTTCTCTGTGCATGCTTTTTGATGGACCCCCTTAGGCTCCAGTGTATGACTGATAGACAGCAACGGTTTGACTGAAAAATGTCAAAATTGAAAATACTGTGGAAACAAAGACACCTACATCTTGGATGCCCTTGAGGTGAGCTAAAACATATCAAAAATGAATTTCAAAGTGAACTGTCCCTTTAAAGCACGTTAAAGACTGTTCTTTCTCAGACAACTAAGAACATTTGAAGTCAGTCAGCACCACTTTGTTTTTTTATTTCTTCAAGTTATTATAAAGCATCCTGAAATCATCCATCAGTGTGTAAAAAAAGAGATCTCACTAGTCTTGTGGAATCTGTGCATCCATCACCATCACATGGGATGAAAAGATTACTGCTCAAACCAAACATCCAGATTAGGACAGCCTCTTTCCTACAGCTGTCAAGTTTTTCAACAAACACTCCTAAAAGTGACCTCATTAGTCACTGTGATGTATAATCTACGTTTACATAATACACTGTCAAATAAAAAAAAACAACTATTTATCATTCTTTAACTCCTATGACCTTCTCAAATATGTATCACATTTTGTATACGGTTTTGTATACTGTACTGTTTATGGTTTATTATTGTGCCTTGTTCTGTAATATATTGTATAGTTTTTCCACAAGCTACAGGTATGCCATGTATATCAATAAATTATATTCTATTCAAATCTGTTCTGTTCTGTTCTTTTCTATTCTTCAGTTTTTTTCCTGTGTAATTCTACTAGATACAACTCTGAGAAAAGCAATTCAATCATATTTTTTTTTAGCATATTGTCAGGTTGAAATATCTTCATGGTTATTCTTGAGTACAGACACATTCTATATTCTCCATAGTTTCAGATCAAATTAACACATAATCCTGTCATTATTTTTTCAAAGAAAAGCCAAAATGTGGAAACCAAAACTGGGTTTCAAACATGGGATAATTTCATCTTCACTGCCACCGGTGATGTGCATATACTAAGAAAGTAATAAAGTGCTATATTAATGCACAATTTTATGCAGATACACTGACCTAAAGTATTCAGGTGTCTTAACGCTATGGCAGAAGGACCAGGCACCAGCAATGAACTCAAAGCAGCAAACGTAAACTGCTGATAAATTTGAGATTATAAGGCTGTTTTCAACTTTTGCAAACGCCCATCATTCCACAGTGATACTGAATGAATAGAAAAAAATCCACATTTGATACAGTTGCTATTAATGCAGTTAACATGGTGTGACAGGAGAGCAGTGCAAACAGGAATAAATGAACAAAAGCAATGCTGTAAAGATGAGTTTGCCAAAATTCTTCTGAATTTGAGAAAAGATCATTTATGATATTTGTTTATGCCATCTAAACATTCTGGTATTTACCATCTAAATTTTATAACATGTCTAGAGAAAACATTTTTTTTATGGAAGGAGGCTAAAGACCAAGTGTTACACAACCTTTCCAAATATTGAATTCCTATATATATATAATAGTGGCCAAAAGTGATTTCCGGAGGGGATATTATTTTTGATGACCCTACGAGTTTATTAAACCATTAAATTAAGAGGAAAATATCTTATTTAAAACTATATATATGTCAAAAATGTTTTGACACCAAAAAAAAGGCAAATGAGTTGCAGGTTTTATTTTACTATGCAACATTTTTTTAAATGCATAGAAAACAAAAAGCTCGAAACATACGTTGACTACAACATAATCAGTACGTAATCAATTTTCTGTCACTTTATATATACTGTATACAATTATGTATAAAATAATAAAATAAAAATGAATATTAAATAAACAATTTAATTAAAATGAATTAAAAACAAATGTTGCAACAATGTGTTTGATGAGATTATGCAACATAGATGGAAAAATCGCATATGAGTAATAAAGTAAAATTTTCTATGTGGGAAGATACTGTAGCACTGCACAGCATGTCATCTTTGACATTAAACAACACAGACGTAATTGTAAAATTCAATGAATAGGAGGATCTGCGTGGGAAGACAGATCACATTAAATGAAGAATGAGAGGGATTAGTTGGTTTTGTGACTCATAAAATGAACATATAGTTATTGAGTCTAAAGGTGACGATTAAATCATGCAGATCAATAACAACGGGTTTAGGTACAGGTAATAGAAAAGGTTTTGATACAGTCATGACTCAGAGTGCTATAATCTACCATAACCATAGATATGGGACAAAGGTTTAAATTACTTATCGCTGTAGTTTCCTGGGTTCAAGCCACTTATTAATGTTTTAGGCAATATAAATAAAAAGCTCTCTCTACAGTGTAAGGTGGGTTGTTGCAGTGAAGTGCATGACGAAAGGAGTATAACAAAAACAGTCTTTATTAAATCCAAAAATAAGATAACAGGAGGAAACAATAACAACCACGTATAGCATTACCAACCTGAACAAAACAGAGTGGTATATACAAATGCAAACAAAGGAGCTAAATGATACACAAGTGAATTAATCAG